CTGTAAGTTAAGGGTCTGGTGTTGTCATTGACTTCATCACCTGTCATGTTTGGGGTTCACGACTTAATATGTCCCCACAAAGATCAGGTGTCACGTCCCTTTTTTAAACAACAAAAGAGAAGAATCCAGGCCAAATTAATAACATTTGACATTTCGATAATGTTATGAAAAAAGCGATATGTTGGTATTCAACAATATACAATGTCGACGGTGACTACATCAGTATATGATTTGAAGAATACTGCACCCAACCAAATTTACTGGAATATTTAAATATCAAAAATTTAATAATAAATCACTTGATGACGTCCTCATGACATAATTATTTATGTATTATCTTCATTTTATGAGGACTGCTTGTAACTTAATGATGATCGAATATTGCTAGGTTACAAAAATAATGCCTCGAAAACGTGTATAAAGTCAATGGGCTGAAATAAATATTGAAAGATCAATAATAATCAATTGGAGGCAAAATAAATTGCAGCTTCAAATAATTTATCACCGCGGGACACTGGAGACCCTTGTCACTATGTGGCTCAGTTGTGTTCACTCGCGGTTGCTTGCACGGTGATTTAATGCCTCTAACTAGTTACTGGCATGACCTTAAAAGGTTCGTAGCTCTGGAGAGAGTTACTCACAGTCACTTTTGCTGAAAAAGAGAAAAATCTGTCTGTTTTGCAAAGGCAATTTTGTTAGTTATGCCCCGCGCCATTTCCTGGCGGCAGGCTCCTTCTGGGCCGCAGGCTCCTTCTGGGCCGACGGATGGAGCGTTCTCGGGGGCGGACATGCAAGTCTTCCCATCAAGAGGCACCAGTGGTCAGGGCCCTTGCAGGGTCTAGTGCACGCGGCATGCATCGCCGAGTCCAGATACCACTATTATACTGTTGGCTACTGCCGGAATGATTCCAGGGAGTGCGAGTGTTGAGTCTAACCATGCAACGCTAGCGCTCACTACCATCAGTCGGCCTGGAGGGAGTTCGGCACAAACTTTGGAGCTGGGTAAGTCCCCTGTTGCTACTCCTGTTGAATTAGCCCCGCAACCTCTGCTCTCGGTCATTTCTTCAAGTTTCAGGCCCATGGTGTCGGGAACTCCAGCTCTGAGCACATTGTCAGTTATCCCCTTTTCTGAATCGAACATGGCATTAACTAGTGTTTGTGGGCAGGGCTCCGCGTATCACGTCTATCGAGCAGTGGACGTCGGCGTTTCTAGTTTTTGCAAGTCTGTGCATTTGTTGTGACATCCTACCCATGCTTGTTTGTTGCTGAAGTACGCAGACATAATTAGATCTACTGTACTTCAACATGTGGGATATGGTTGGCGAGAGTACGACATACAGTTTCGATTACGCCAGGCATGTGTGTCGTCACACTCTTGGGCAACTATTGATGTCGAAACTCTGGCTGATGCTGCTTGGTGCGCCCGTTTCGCACCATCAAAATTTTCCTCCGTACCAGCAACGCAAGCGTGCCCCCTCCACTGCCGCCAACCCCTTGTCCGATTTTGGGCCTGGTCGGTGCCGAGTAGCCGGAGTCGGTCAACCCACATATAACAACTTCAACCGCGGTCAATGCAATCACACCATGTGTCGCTTCGCGCATCGCTGCTCCACCTGCAGGGCATTGGGCCACCCCACAAACTGGGGAACTCACAGTCTCACGTCACAGCACGGGTGCCGGCAGCTGGCACCAACCCCAGTAAAACTAAGTAGTATGCTCCCTTTTTTGCAATTGTATCCTCATACTAAGGACTCCCACAATTTGCAAGAAGGTTTTTTTGCATGGTTTCTGGGTAGGCTATTCAGGTCCCAGGGTTAGTACCTCTGCTTGTAATTTGCTCGCAAATTACAAGCAGAGCAAAATGAATTTGCTCGCAAACATCCCAACATTCTGCAGTCGAAAAATGATCATGAAGTTGCTTTGAGTCGCGTTGCTGGCCCGTTTTTGTCCCAGCCTCTTCCTCACTTCCGTTGTTCACCTGTTGGCCTGTTGCCCACACAGACTCCTGGTGAATTTCGGTTAATCCTTAATTTGTCGTCCCCATCAGCAATTCTGGGAATGATTTTACTGATCCCGCAGACACCACCGTTCCCTACACAAGTTTTGATGAGGCGATAACTATGATTGCAGATTTACCACAAAATGCCCTGATGACCATGTCAGATATTAAGTCGCCTTTTTGTTTACTTTCCGTCCATCCAAAAGATTTTGACTTGCTTGGTTTTCCCATAACAGCCACTTTTATTACAATAAATGCATGTACATGCCTAGGGTTGTGCAATATCCTGTGTTACGTTTGAGCGGTTCAGTACTTTTCTTAAGTACCGTACTCATGAGGTGGCCGGATCTCCTAAAATTGTGCATTATCTGGATGATTTTTTGTTCGTTGGCACTTGTCATGCCGAGTGCGCACACTCTCTCCAATCTTTCAGAGTAGTTTGTCAGCGATTTGGGGTACCCATTGCAGAAGAAAAAAAACGAAGGTCCAGCTACGAACCTCACTTTCCTGGGTTTAACGATCAGTACGGTTGCGCGACAGATTAAACTCCCATCTGATAAGCAAGCTGCTTTGAAAAATACTATTGTTAATGTGCTCAATTAGAAGAAAATAACACCGCGCGATCTTCAGTCCCTGCTAGGTCATCTCAATTTTGTTTGTAAGGCTGTAAGACCTGGTAGGGCCTTTCTCCGTCATTTGCATGATCTAGCTAGGGGTATCTCCAAACCTCATCACAAAATTTGCATCACTTCAGGTGCACGAGCAAACTGTACTGTGCTGCCACGTCAAAAGATGCATAATTCACCTTGCACTGCTCAAGACTGATGAAGTCATTGATAGAAGTGCAATGCAGAAATGATAAATGGTGAATTAAGTGATACGAGCCTGGCTCTTTCTTAGGTACGAGACCGATCGGAGAGCACTGTAGATTCTTTAGTGGGCGCGTTGGAAAGGGGCCAGCAATGCGGTCGGCTTGAATTTCTTTAGCAAGTTTTTCCTCTAACAATCAGGGGTTTTGATATTGCAGAGCCAAGGGGCTCGGAATCCCTGCTCACCCGAGGCCCACTGAAACCCAAGGAAAATCCCATTGAAAAACCCTCACTCAGTACATGTTGATCTGCAGTGTTATCGTACGATTCTGACCAGTTCTGCAATACGGGGACATTAATTGGAGTTGGGAGTACAAAAATTGGCTTACCAGCAGCAGCTGGTTGTGCATTCGTTGGGATACTCACGTCTGCGCTTTGTGCAACCCCTGTCACGCCCGCGGGGTTCACATCATGCCCATGATGGGGGAATTCCCGTTTCTTCGGCCCTTTTTGACCCCACTGCCGGTTACACGTTTGGCTACCATCGAATTGGCACACGTGCAAACCATGGCCGACCATGTACACTTGGCGCACTGGTGCTGGTACTTACAGCCAAAGTATTTACAACCGCCCGGGCTATTAAAAGCAAAACACACCTGACTACTTCCGCGCCGAGTGGCAGTTATCTGAGCGGTGTTGCTGGCAGAGCCAACGGCAGAGGCTCCCACCGTAAACCACAACTCCGCATCTAACTCGGCCCATGATCGATCGGGTGGCGTGGCCTGCCGAAGATGAAACTGTTTGTCATACAATTGCTGTAGGTACTGACGGTGGCGAGCGACTGGAGTCGTTGACATTTCCCTATCCACACTGAGTCATTGATGCGGCTGTGTGCTGGCGCACAGCTCCCCGTGCAACTGCGGGAGCCCGGGATCCCCGTCGAGCTTTCTTACTGGGCCGAGTACCGGCCTGTAGACAAGCAGGGGCGGAAGTTCGTTTCCGCGGTCGTGGCATTCTTCGGCTGCCCCCCGGGTAGCAGTTGCCTGTCGTGTGGAATCCAAACGATATCGTCCGGAAGGCCTGACAGAGCTGTTCGAGGTTGCAAAATTCTGCGATGAATTACGTTTTCTTTAAGTCCTCCACAATTGACGGACAATTCAGGGCCTCGCTCAAAACTTCACTGTGACCGATTTATCAAGGTAAGGTAAAATCCATGTGGTTTGATCGCTGGAAGCTGTGACGAAATAGGCTAGCGAAGTGATCAGCGCACTTTCATTGACCAAATAAACCCGTGAAGCTGAATGGCCAATGAATCTGGCGGGCTGCCCCCCGCAATGATTGGAAATCTCTGGATCTTCATTCTGGCTCATTGCTCCACCCCATTTCGCCTAGACGCTACTATTACATGACAGGCCCCCTTCGAATTTCAACACACAATCTACACTCAGCACAAACATGTTTTCTTTTTTCCTAGAGTATAATTAATTTTATCGCTAAGGTCGATTAAACGTCTTGTTGCATACGCTGCATTGGGATGTGCTCGATTATAAACATTAAAGGTACAGAAGGTACACAAGGTCAGTTCTGCATATGTTCCTTTGTGGCAACAAAATGTACTCAGATCTAAAAAAACAAAGGGTGCCTAGGAACAAACCTGACAAAGTTTCAGCTCAGTGAAAACTGTATATTCTGAGAAAACAATATTCTACATTGAAAATCTTGAATTGTGCCTGAGGTTAGCATGTGGAACACGTTCTTATGCTCAGTGGAATGCAGCTACGCGATGTCAAGCACTGAACCGAGCGCACGACATGTCAATGATTGCACGTGTTTCTAAAGCCGACCTTTAGAGCAGACACATCCTTGGGAAATGGCCTACATGTACATGTACTTTCATTGTTTTCTTCAAAATGACAGCTTGCCAGAAGGAATAACTTTACAGAAAGTCTAGTCCCATCACCATCTTTAAACTAAATATGTTTTTCTATAATTTGGTCAATAATTCTTTCAGTTACTTTTAGGATCACTGCAAATAATGGACTTTACCTTTAATGCCATATTGCTGAATAACAATGCTGCCAAATTTTTTATGGTCATACCACAGAGTTTGGTGAACTTATTTGTACAGTACTTAGATAAACTGTGACGGCAGTTTGATCATACTTAAATCAACATACTTGCAAGTTTCTTACCTGTTTTAGGACGAACAGGAAGTCATTCTGAGTTCTGATCAATGAGTAAGGTGAGTGAAGCTCACTGGCCAGTGATGCATAGGATGCTACAATAGGTGAGAAATATTGAGTTGCTATGGATATGTCCAAATGATCCTTGTCAACCTCCTCTTCCTGTTGAAATCAGGATATTGTGTCATTAGTATAGTATCATTTTATCCTAAACGTACAAATACTCGTACCTGTAACTGTCATGATTTTAATTCGAGATGCATGGCACACGTCATAATGATCAACTTGTAATGTCAATATCAACTGATAGCGCTCCTTCCACATTTACAAAAGCAGGTATCATTTCATCCTTTCTGTATATAATACACAATAAAATGAAAATTTTCAAAGGACACATTAAAGAATTCAGTACCTTGCGTAAAATCGTCACCACCACCATGAAGTATTACTAATGTGGCTTTGAGAAAAATCAGGTTTTCAAGAAAATCATCAGAGAAGTTTTCCTTTATAAAAACTGCCAAAGAAAATAAGTATTTTGTGACAACTTCAAGTAACAAAAATCCCTTAAATGATTCTTTGATGTCTAATCGTTCACCCGACCAGAGTTATTAGTATAAAAACAGGGGTTAATTAGCCTAAATTAATAAGCAGAGGTTAACGTCACTTCGTGTGCATGAACGTCCTTCTGTTCAATGTATAATAATCACAGGGAAGGTGATCGTGTCTTTACACGTGCACAACTGTGAATGTTATGAAGCTAACCTCACTTCGTGAAAACAAAAATCCAAGTTGACCTGCATTTCAGCCGTTTCCTTGAAATATGTTTTGTACATGTTCAAAGGATGCTAAGCATTGCGTCACTCATGAAAACCCAAAATGCTGTTTCCAAGATGTTTGCCATTGGCAGCATTAATGCATATGTAACTATTACATTAATGATGTTGTGTCTGTGGGAGCATGTCAAAATGGTCAAGCACAATGTTGTGAAGAAAATATTGAAAAAAATGGACAAAAATTCATATATGAAAGGGCTGCATAGCACCGTGATCAGAATACAGACGAAAATATAATATATAATCAGTTCTCTGAACTATGTAATTGCTGAGCTTATGGTAACTGGGTAATGTACCTTGGTCAGGGCACTGAATGCGCTTGCACTGATCAAGGTACCCAGTTACCGTAAGCTCGGCAATTACAGAGTTTAGAGCACTGATTACATATACAATGTATATATATATATATATATATATATGTTTGCCATCAACTAACAATGCCTTGTGCAGCAGTTGCCAACAGATTTAATTGACAGAACTACTAATGTAGAGTTTGCATTGTCATTAATTTTTTGAAGAATTGAATAAATACCAAGTTTGGCTGCTGCAACTGCAAGTGTCCTCTTGAATTGTCCCAAAGACTTTGGGTTAAAAATTTAAGATGGGATATTGATTCAACTTAAATGCCCTTGAAAGATTTTTCTTGTTATCTCAGTTTGTCAAAACAAAAAGTTGGTAATTATGCAATTGTCTCCAAAACAACTTTGGCGATATCTGACTGGTTTTCCCAGATTGCATCGTAAATGCTTGTAAAACATTAAAATTAAGGGAGGAAATTTGTGTTTAATTTGATAAACGGGTAAAACTTTCCTATATTGTTTAAACATTTAGCCAACACTTTACAGAGGCTCACCACTGCCAACCTTGGGGTTTACATGTACATGTTTATGCATGATCAGCTGGATAGAGAAATGTAGACCAATGTTGAGGGCACTGAATAAGCAACTTTTGTCATCTTAAATTACATGATCCCCCCAAAAGTAGATGGATACAGAAACGAAAAAAATTCAGGCAATTAGGAGCAATACATTTATTTGGCATGTTAAAAATGTACGCCAGATCATATCAATCAAATGCCAAAAAGGGGTTCCATTTAATAAACGTTTTGGAAAAATCTGTAAATATTTACTTAAGTTTTTTGTTTAAATGTTTAAACCTGCTAATGTCACACCCTTTTCCAAAATAAAGGTCATGTATTCATGCATCCTCATAGGGCAAGAGCTTTGTATTACTGGGCTAGGCTTGAGTAAACCTTTTGTGCATTACTGAAACTACATGTAAATTAAAATAAAACAGCCTTTGAGACACCATGGCGATGCCAGCAATGTGTGGGACAGCGCAGACATCCAGGATTCTCACAAAATGGCAGGTACTGTGCCAATGAAAACAATGACCATGGTGACGTACTCATGCATCAGCCAGTCAGAGGATCGGATTACACAATCCTTTCTTTGATCAGTGCGTATACACATGCTCGTTTCAGTTATTTTCATCGGCACGGTGTGGTTGCTACCCACAAATTTTGTTAAACTCCCGGATGTCCACGCTGCCCCATAACCTCTACAATCTTATAGAATGTTCATCTTACCGTGGTGAGTTTCTTTCCAATGGCAAGTTGGTTCATGTGACTGATGAAAGCTTTATCTGCAGTCAGGAAAACAATGTCTGGCATACTAGGGTTCCGCATCACCACAGTGCCCTTCATTTTGGATTCACTGTTACCGGTTCACTAAAGATCACTGAAAGTCAAAAATGGTTAAAAATGTTTTTTCTTAACCTCTTGTACAATTTATGCAGGTATGGCGGTAAGGTACTGTAAAATAGCTGTCCCATACAATGTACATATACTTTCAACATATATATACATTACGTAATTCTCCACAAATTAAATCATTTGTGTCCATCTTTGACAATTCCTCTTTACGTACGTAATTCCAAGATGCTATTTTTTATTTGTAACGCCACACATTCATGGCAAGTGGTATTCAGTATTTTAATAAACATCAAGAATCATTCATTCTTACCAGTGGATATTTTATCACAAATCTAGTGCCCAATTGTTTTTAACTGGCACACACTAAACACTGTTTTGGGGAATTTTTAAGGGAAAGAGTTCTATATCGCCATCACTTGACTTGACACCCTCTGCACAAACCCTTATGAGACTGATGGTAGCTGAGTGATAGTGTGGTTCCCAGACCAAACAGATCCCAACTGTGTTTGGCAGCGGTCAACAATCAGGAGATAATCACTGCACTGTAGTAAACGAATGGCCAATGTTCATTCATTACAATGTTTTTGTTACACCCCAACTATAGAATCAGTCCCAACTACAGCAGAGAGGTCCTGTGTGCATGTGTCCAGCATGTGCCAAAGTCATATCATTTACAAATGTCATGTCATTGGTCAGAGGGCTAAGTGCCACATTTTAGATGAATTGTGTCAAGTGTGAGACAAATTGACTTGGATAATGTCGAGACATTTCCCACAGACATTGGTCAACAATAGTTGGGCCAGCCCAACAGCAGTACTATAGTTGGGACTTATTCTATACACTGTAGTTGGGGTATAACATTTTTACGATGAATGGACTTACATGAGCTATAAGTATAACAGTGACCCAAGGGGGTTTGGGAATTAATGTACGTGATCTAGACTTTGCCTACCCCCAGAACTGTGGGGTCCGATGTCAGGTCCGCTCCAATGAGAGAGCGGAGCAGACGTTGGACCCCACAGTTCTGGGGGTAATCTAGACTTATTGTAATTGAGAGGAAAATACTTCTCAAGGTTGGTATTAAAAAATCCATAAATTTGATGAAAGCTGTATCGGCGTCAGAATAATTAAAAAGTCAATAAAACGAAAGTGGAGACCAATCATCATGATCATCAGCAACAAGTGCTTGTTCAGTAAGATTAGTGAAATTTTCTTTGGAATAATCATGCGTGGCGATTGAGTGGAACAAATCGAAACCAACATGTCACGGACTTCTACCATGGAGGTTGGAAAAGATGCTTCTACATGTACATTGTACTACTAGTAGTAGTACTACGGAGCTGGCCCCCAGTCTGGAGCTAGCCTTGACATGCTATAGACCCAGCTTACTTTTTATATTTATTCTTTCTGTCGTTGACTGTTGATTATTTTACAGCAATATATTTGCAACCACTGATTGTTCAGTCCAATTTAAGATAAAGCAACAATTTATGATGAAGATGTTTCCAGTAACAAAGGAAGAAAGGGCAAAATATTCCATCACCTCCTGCTTGATTTGTGCATTGATCAGGCTTCGTTTCCTCATTCACCGATATTAACCGCGCCCGGCTGCCCGCCCGGTACGGTTTTACCGGTCCCTACGTTCGGAGGACATCTGCAAGACGTCAGGAGACTATGTACAGGATGGGAACAAGTTTAACGGAACGTCAGCATCACAAGCTTGTTGTAGAGGCAGTATTGAAACAGGGAAAAGACACGCTTATGGTAATTTATACTTACATCACCATTTGGTTCCCTGGGATATGGGATATCTAGGCGTCACACGTGAAACATGATTTATGCAGTATGTGAGCTCTTGGCCTTGTCACGCACATGGTTGCACAACACCATGACTACACCAAGTACGCTCCCATAGGAAACAGTGCAAAATCAGGCTGAAATAGCGCGGCCTGTTGACTCTGGGGAAGAGGTTAGCCTCCCCTTTTTCACTAGAAATTCAAGCTTGTGACAAGAAGATCCCTTTCTGTTTCAACTTTGTAGGGGTTGGCCACGCGATTTTTTTTATTCGCCTTGCCTCACGTATGTTTGGTCCCCAGGCCCCGTAGACTGTGCGTGCATTCAGTTTATGAATTTGCACCTGCGCAATAGTAACATTATGGTCGTCGGCCTGAAAACTGATCAGACGACGCTTATCGGTGAAGAATTTGTCCTGCCATTTCCCTTGAAGACCTCGTGTGTTAATAAATTACCAAGAATCTATCAAATGAGTATATATAATATATCCTGATAAGACAGATCTCAGGGAAACTGATCAAAGAAGTGGAAACATAAATTTTACGACAAAGGATAATTATGAAAAATTACCGGTTTTTAGCTAACTTTGTGCCCAATTTTCACACTTTTGTCGAATTCCCCTCAGGTCAGCGGTGGTACTGTCTGGAACACTGGTGAATCGTTTGTATCCATCAGTTAACTTCTTCAAGATCGAGAGCCATTTGTCTGAAATGCGGTTCATGCGGATTCAAATTTCCGCACCGAGTCCGACATGACCGGACAGCGGTCCGAAAAATGAGATGTCCGGATTTTTGGCATGGCATACACGTAGACAAGTGTGTATTTGCCTGCAACTGGGGACCCCCTCGTGTTCCTCTTTTGTTTGTACTTTAATTTTTTTTAGAAGTCCACCCACATGTTTTGTACACAGTTGTCAATCGGGGACCCTCTGTCCATCGGGGACCTTATTGTCCTCTATTGCTCAGAAACAAACTCACACACACCTGGGAACGAGTGCGTTTCGGTACGGGTTGACTTTTACTGTATTGCACTAATACGTACAACGATGTCAAATTACCCGACTAAAAGACCCAAACAAAAACTTTCCGTTCTCGTCCATGTCACAGATGGAATGTGAATTGTGGGATGGCGTGGTTGGAAGTTGCGCAAGCAAGACATTAATAACAACTTGACAAAGCAAACCAAGTGTTCT